GTCCTGAACATCAAACTACGCGAACTGGTGACAGGGCAACTCGTCGAATGCAGACAGACAGGGGGACGGACACACAACAGTAACGAACATGTTAGATGTTGCGTAAGGTTTAAGCAGTCCTGATCAACTTTACTTGCCCCATATATTGCCTTGACAGGAAAACAGGGACTTACGGGATAACAGGAACGATGCCGCATCATAAACGGTTACTGTGGATCACATACTTTATCAACAAAAGTACCGTTACTGAGCTGATAATTGGACTTAACTATTTAGAGAGAGGAAATGCCAAGCAAAAAGTGGAGGACTGACCTCAAAATTTACCAACAAATGCTGAGAACTGGCATGCGACACTGGAGTGCCAGCCATTGTGTTGGCCAAACGATCTGAGATCATATGAAGCGATCGGTTGCCAGAGGGTGGTGCGCTACAGCTCATTTCGGCCTGGTGATGATGATGATGATCTTGTTGATAGTGATGACGGGGGTGATGATGATGGGGAAAATGAGAATCGGACCCGGAAGGACAGGCACGACGACGTCCAGAGTGATGTCCATTCTTCTCTGTGGCGCTGTTGGGAGGAACCGGTGAGGAGGTGACCGACGATACAGGATCGGACGAATAGACTGGGGGAGGCACATTCAGGCGCAAACTGGCCGGGCGACGTCGAGATTGACTAGGAGCTGTGGTTGTGTGAGCACTGGTGTCAGTTGTAGTTGTGCAGACTTTGGTGCGGACGGATTCGGTGGTCGATGAATCGCAGTCCGCTTTAGCCGAGTTCACGTTTCGTTCCAAGGCAACATTGTTGGACACAGCCAAAGGGGAGGTGGGTGAGGGCTCCGGCCGTGAATCCGTCCCGAAAGCCATGCAGATCGAGCTGAAATAGCATAGTCATACGACTTAAAACAAGCAACAGTGATCAAAATACATTTGATAACAAGTTCAGCATTATTCATTTTATAATCTAACATTTGGTTTAGCCCATTCGATTATTCAGAGACACCGAGCACTGGCGAGTGCACTGTTCACTCCTCGGGAGATTGTTAATTCCCAACCAGGTAAATGCATTTATATGCAAACAGGAAGAAACAGCTACCCACTGCTCTTCGTCGATCATTACAGAGATTGTTGTTATATATAAAAGTACCCTCCACTACTTGGCAGCGCGCACAGTGTTAAATAGAATATGCACGACTATTCCCACTTTTCAGAACCCGCACAGTAACCAAATCAGAAGTCGTAATACCGAAGTTCATCAAACTATCTTTCACTTCACCGGAAAAATACCGACCACATTGAAACAGAAGCCATGCGCTGCAATCCCTGTGATCTCTTACGCCCATCGGAGCCCCTGATTGACCGAAACCCCTGTCGTGGAAACTACACTATTCACTGATCCATAACAGGGAGTAAAAGTTGTTACCTATAATCATTGGTTACTTTCAAAGAGCGCGTATAACCAAATTTCATGTGTGTCCTTTTGCATAAGGAGATCTAATTGGACAAAGAAGCATACACCGTCGTGCAGAGATGCATTTATGAGCATGTTTGAGCCCAAGAGTTACCAATTAAAAGTGAGCCTCTAATCCGACGGATCTAGAGGCATAAAGCTGTTTCGCGTCTAGCTTCCGCTAGTTCTTTACAGCGACAGCAAATCTACCGCGTATCAGGTATCACGCGACCATTGCGCAGTCTGATTGGCGAATTTTTTCAAGTGTATGCTGCGGTAGTTCGGTCAGTTCTGCTATACGGTGCAGAAACATGGCCATTAAGGAAACAGGATAAAGATACTGTCGATGTTCGAACACCGCTGTCTACGCAGCATTGAACGGATCTGGTGGAGCAGCCCGACGAGCAATGCTGAGGTTAGGTGTAGAGTTTTAGGTAAATGCGGTCGTCCACTGCAGCAAGTGAGTGACCTGCACAGATTACGTTGATTGGGGCATGTGTTACGTATGTCACTAGATAGGTTGCCACGACGAGCGATGTTCGCCGAGGTAGGTAATGGGTGGAAGAAAGTCAAGGGTCAAGTCAAGGTGGTCGAATTAAGACCTGGCACGAGGGTATGAAAACCCTAAGCAGGGGATTGAATCACATAGGTCCCGTTAGGCTCCCTGGCTGGGGACCTCGGGATGATCGTACCCGATGGTTAAAGACACAGTGATATGGCTGAGTTTCGTAAACAGTGCCGTTCGTGCATCTTGTCATTTCCCTGCAACGAAATTCTAAATTTTCTCTTCCATCCTACTTTCAACCTTTTCTGTCTTTCTCCTAATGTTCATCCAAACGGGCAGCCAGAAGACAGCAACCAAAACCGACGCATGATAGTGTATGGTTAATGATTGTATAAACTGAAACTGTCCTCAACTGTGGAAACGGCATCAATGTGATAGATAAACTGATGAAAAACCGTTATCAAAGGTGATCCAACATTGTTGTTTAATACTGACATATCAATGTTCTCCGCTGTATTTCACACTGATTTAGGCGATACATGTTGAGGGATGTTGACTAAACACTCGATTATTCACCCTCAAACCGGTTGACATTTTGTTCACATCCATGTCTCAATCCTTCCGGAGAAGATAGGCTAAAACTAATTTGAGAAAATAGGAAAACAAATGTCTCTTCTAGATATAGCAATAGTATGCCTTATCAGCTGGACAGTAACAAGATGAATGCGGTATTTGTGCTGTCTCAGAAAGGTCCAGTCTGTTTCAATTCAGACAATAAGCGCAATCCTATCGAAATGAAGTACACAGGGGACAGTGGTAATTCCTGTTTCCATGCCAGCCCGCACAATGTGTCGCAGACTTCTCCGGTTGATGAGTGTGAACGGCGAGGGTGGGGGGAGGGTGATTAGGAGAATCGTGGTACACCAAGCATCGTATCGATGCCGTTTTCCAATGTGGGAAACAGACTAGACCAAAAACCAGTAGCCAATAGGATTCAGTGAACGGTTCCCAATTGAAGTAGAACGCACGGGACGCAGCGCCACAAACACCACTACAAAGCGGACCATATATATATATATATATATGGTGTTGTAAATTACATATTTGTTGGAAACACACTTCCTGAGTACAAGCGTATGAATGACCTGACAAAAGACTGCCAGATACTGATGATGGATGAGCGACAAGAACCGCGAAATCGTTTGTGTGCTTCCAGAGAAATTGTGTCCAGTCATTCAGATACTATTTATTGTAAAATATATGTATTCAGTAATGTCTAAATAACCGAATGGTAGCTGGGGTTGATCAAGAAACCACCCATCCGGACCAAAAAGAATGTTTTGAACCGATCGATGGATTACTACCCTCCTTCGTTCCAACTACGTGTTGTCTCGTTTTGTCGAGAATGCACTGAAGGCAATCTGTCAATCAAACATGGATCTCGTACTGCATTGCGAACCACAAATGCACACACAGCCACACTGGTTACCAATTCAGTTTTAGAAACAGCATCCGTATGATGCGGTGGGTAGTGATGCGATGACAAATAGATCAGACGAAAATATCCTAGAATTGCCGACAAGCACGAGATGAAAAGTGTAACACCGTACCATACCACGGGCTTTGTGATAAAAAATATGGGGACGGGCAAGTCGAGAATGATCGATGAGCTTAAGGCAGGGAAAAAGATGAAGTCAGTGAAATGATAAATACGACAGGAATGCGGATCACAAGCCCAGCACGGAACTGCATTATTTGATCATGGCAACAAAGTTGAATCAAATAGCGATAAGACAGGATCGAATGATGCATAGGACAGAGAACAGAAAGGGCTAGTGAAATAGACAAACCTTTTAGACAGTTTTAGTGGACACAGAGAGGCGTCGAAATCGAACTTCCCACTAGTACTTCGCTTCAACGGAACCTGAATCAAAGGAGAAAGTGTGGAGGAGAAGCGACAATTACCAACCAGGCTAATTGATGTGTTTAACGGTTGATTATTTGGAGTGTGTGTGTGTCACGTACAAGATATGGAAACTTAGAGCACAGATGAACGTGCTTTGGGGTGATTTTATTTTTAAACTACTTCAAGTATACTGTGTGGAACGAAAGAAATGGGGTACATTGCATGCGGTAAAACCATTCATTCTCAATCGTTTCACTCACGGTTGAAGCATAAGGGATAAGGATAAGTGAGCAGCAATACTTTTTTCCGGTTCTAATCTCTCCGAGTCTTGACCAACGAAGTTATTGTAACCCGATGCACTCTCAACTCTCGTCTAACAGTCCGTTTGGATCAGTCATTGAGATAATGGTAGCATATGACAACCATCAAAACACCGAGCTGGTGCCATATAGCTTTACTGAAATCAAACGCAATACCACAACCCACTGGAGTCTTATGTGATTCGCCACTTGAAATGCTCGGGGGCTTAGACTTTCAGTTATGATGACTGGGAAGACTTTAATCATGATCATCACCACGTAATGTGAACAATGTGAAGTAAACCACGTGGGTAGTGCTGCGAGACATCTATAATTTTTTATAACACACCAGTGGTTGATGAACAGTAGAGAGGGCGGACCCCATAGTCACGAAGAGCAGCTGTTCAGTGATGGTAATCGGCAACCTGAGTGGCGAACCACATAAGGCCCCGATAGGTCAGGTATGGTATAGAACCGAGCGATAGCAAAGCTGTCTATCACCAAAGTTGGGTGGAAGTGGCGGGGCTCGAACCTCAGACCACAGGGTCCAAAGCACGCCGGTAACAGCGAGTAAATCACTGCGCCACCATCACCCAATTGACCGCACTAAAGAGCAAGTATCTCGGCTGGATGAAAACCGAAGTACTAAAACCCACAAACACAAATCCTCTGACTGAATCGAATAACACGATGTGCACAAGGCTCTCCGTCCCCTCTACACGGTCAAGGCAGCTACGTTATTTTTCCAGGACTTAAATTGCCGGTTACCAAGAGAGAGCAGCAGGCTCTTGCGCCTACACCTCTTCTACTGTCCTTTCCAATAAGGTGTGTAATAAAAAAGGGGGAACAAAAAAGGTCAAGCATTGAATTCTAAGGACGGTCGATGCGACCAGATTCCACATCCGTGTCCCTCAAGCCCAGAAACAAGGTGGGAGGACATCGGGCCTTCCATGATCAATCAAACACAATCGAGTCGGGTGATGTCTCTCAGTTAGCTCCAAGTCATTCATTCACTCAAACATTTCACGCAGATCAAAGATCACGGTTGCATTACTCTAATCCGATAAGAACAATTGCTTAACTGATCGCTCCGCTTCAACACATCTTTAAACGTGTTGTATTCAGCCAGCTGATGAAGCCCGGAAGATAAGCAGGTTAGTTAACTTGTGCTATTATGTCATGTAATAAACGTGCCACTGAGTACTGATGTACAGTGCACAAATGATATGAAAACCACGGCACTGTAATGGGATAAGAAAGTGGACAATCTGAAGGAGGGAGAGAAAAATAGCACACTACGTTTTGACCGAGTGGGTAATTAAGGTCGGTGGATAAGGTATGTTCACATCGAATGAGTAAGTTGTGCTGAACAGTTAGTGCCCACCTTAAGCTTGGCCGACATTGTAAGCGGGACAGCGATTATGCCATCAAGATGTTATCCCATTCAGGCAACTTTGTTTAAGTAATCTAGTATGGCCGACAAACGAGCCCGAAAAGTGAACCGATAAACAGTGCACAGACCAGCAAACAAAACTCGAAACTGGTTCATGTGACGCAGGTGGAGAATCTTCCTCCGGAATGTTCTAATCTCATATTCCAACCTAAGCGCAGTTGGTCAGACTGACCAGTCAAAGGCTTTGGTTGGGGGCTGGATGAGAGGAAAACCCTTCTTCCTAAACACAGGCCGTAACGAACTACTCAGTACCCCTCAAGTCCTCGAAAGTGACATACCGAATAAATCCCAATCACGTGATTAAGAGTGCTTTACACACCAGATGTATGGTACAGTCACGGGAACAGCGCTTGAGACGTCAGAAAACTGACGAGTATATACAATCTATCGAAGTCGCAGAATAGTGGGGAAAAGCTAACTTACATATTTTGCCCTTGGCGGCGAGAATCACACCTTGTTCCATACGTCAAATAAACAGACATTAAAATTTAAGTTGCCCGCGAACGTTACCATTGGCAATAGTGACAGTCTGTGCGATAACACATGTCCATAAGATCACATGCGGAAAACCATTAATTGATTGAACAAATATGTATTGATTTTATTCATCCTTGGTGATAATGATTTCACCTCTATGGTTTTGCCATAGTGATTCCTCAGACAGTTGAAAAAACATGGAACAATGTTCTTGATAAAAAAGTGAATCCAAACGCGTGTTCCACTGACACGAAATTTTGCGTGCTACCTACACTCCTCCATTGATCTTTACTCTCTGCTGTGAAAACCGACGCGGGGGAAAGTGGCTCGAACTGTGATGCATGCACCCGGAACGCATTTGAGTCGAGTAGAAAATCAGAAGAACTCGATACTTTGAAGTTTATTCACTACACCGATTTTCTTTTCGACAGTTCATGAGAACATTTGTTTACATTCGCATTTTGGTGCTTTTGATGTTTATGATAACATTGTGACAAATGAATTAGAAGTTTCGAGGACTTCGCAGTTCTTGCTATTGCGGCTCCTATCTCATAAGCCCACTGGATACAATGTGAAAACACTGCAAATTCACAGCAGTTTCAAGTCATGTTGCGACGAAGTACTGGATCGAATACACCATGAGTAGCGATCGAAGTTGAAATAAGTCAATAGAAATCCCAGGAAGTAATGGTAAGTCAAGTCACCAAATTAGCAGCCTGGAGGTAGTATGTTTGAACCCCACAATCGCCACCTAACTTTCCAGTGATTTTTGTACCACAGGACAGTTGTTTAATTGGTCCCTCCCGGCTGAAAAATTTTCTGAACAACTGTGTATTAAAAAAAAGATATGTAAACAAAAATAATAACAAGGATCTTGAAAACGTGACCGATTTGTCGATTTGCATCAATCCTCATCAAACTAACTGTACATTAGACGCTGACTGACAAACTGACTGAATAAAGTCAAGCCCGGACAGACAGAACCAAGTGTCGAGTTTATCTATTTTTATTCAGACACTGCGCTTTGTCTGGCATTCATCCACTGATAAAACGGGCACGAGCGTAAAACAGCTTGGAACGGATTCTGCACCGATCGCCAGTGGACTGCACAGGGCACACTCGAGTCCTCTCTCACATCCAGTCAACCTAGTCCTGCTGCAATTGTCACGTGCGATTGCGTGCAGTCCAGATCAGGTCAGAAATCGATTAAAATCCAACAATACGTCGGTCGGCTCCGCATAATGGCAATTTGTGGACAGAAAGCCACCAACTTATTCGGACGGGACCGGAGTTTTTTAGCCGGATATCTTATTTGGTGCCGTTTCTGCAGTTTATATTTAACTTACAAACATTTTGATGCTAGGCTCGAGAACACAGTCACCAGAGCTTCGAACTAAACTTCCAACCCAACCGCGCTAACTTCTTTGGTATCAGATAACGTGGTCGCCCATCAAATAAACACATACACGAGAGAAAGGGATCAGCGTTATCGCCGAAAACTAATACGAATCAAAATTTCGACGAAAAATTTCCTTTAAACAAAGTTTTGCCTGGTGACAGAAATAAAACATCGAGATACAGGGAAAAAATATGCTAAAACATTTGAGATGAGATTTCTTTGGTACTAAAATCTTCCAAGTTGAACTTCGAAGAAAAACATCTCGAGCTGTTTCACATTGTTTGGCATTCACGAAAGCCTTGTGAGTTGGAGAGCTCAAACTTGAAAACGCTGTTACCGCTGTGGTACGATTTCTATCGGTGAAAATGAACACTAAGTAAAACTGTACAGCTGTGTCAAAATCGGATGATCACTTTGTATGAAAGTTCCATAATGAGGATTGAAAACTCCAGTCATTTTCCCCATACTTGAAATGGCCAGAGGGGTGGCATGAACGTCGAGAATGGTGGCATGTCGATTAGTCATTTGGTCTACAGTGTGCAATGAATCGAACCTACTGGTATTACTGAGCGTCACAGTCGAAATTATTCCACTATATTGTGTCCAGCAGTTTAACTCATTGCAACACACAGTTTGCCAACCAGAAATCAAGAATTCTGTTGCAAGAGACAAAAAAGAACAGCCTTGGTTTCCTCTAGTGTTCCTGCACGAACAAGCGTTTCAAGTAGCCTCTGCTGAGGAAGCCTTCTTGTGATGGAGGTATTGCCCTAACAAAGAGAGAGAACGAAAAGCCAACATCCGAGGCTATAAGCGGGTTGGTGAACCACCGGCTGCTAATCTAGGGGACTTGGCTATAAACCCTGATTCCAAACCAACTAAGAGGTGCAAGAACCACGCGCACACATCTTTTTGGTTGTAGTAGTGGTCACCGGCTCGGTTGGGAATCAGAGAGTATTGCGCATTTGGGACGTTTTACCCCGTCCGAGGGGTGTATGATCCGATAAACTGGATACCGGACCCCAATGGATTGCGGTTTTCACACGCCGTCCCCCTGCCTTGCGGATCAGGCTTTGGTTAGCCAAAGGCTCCAATTGTGATTACCCTAAAAGGATTCACCTGCCTTGGCCTGGGCGACCCAGCAATATCGCGCTACGTGAAAATCATAGAACTTCTTCTTATTATAAAGACTGCTGCACTGTGATTTGTTTGGCACACCGTTTGGACTCGCAACCGGTGACAAGTTAGAGTTTACCGTGAATGTACATAATTTTATCATGGGACGAGTGAAGCGATAGACAAATTTGCCTTTGTGACATTTTTACTGAGCACTAACCGTGTTTTTCATTTGTTTACCTTTGGAGAAAGTATAACTTTCTCAGGACCCTAGTAATTTCTCATAGTTTTTCCTGTAGAAATTCTCATCCTAAAGGTTTGAGATGAGGCACAAGATCGCGGAAAGTGCAATTGCACGAGCATTGATTGTGCTTCATCAGTCAATGGATTAATTCTATAANTACTTTTATGACACATTGATGCGACGAACAAAAAGGGGGTGAAATTAATAGTTTTCAGGACTTTTATGTTGAACCACAAAAGGTTTCTCAAAAAAAGCTGGATGACAGGAAAATAGTCAACCACAACGATGACGGTGAGGTTCGAACCTACGACTTTGCGATTCAGTGCCCGTCAATGAGAGCGATTTGAACCAGCGATTTGACCATCGCTGCAACTATCAGCATCATCGGTATACAACGAATTACAGTGAAGTAGGCCTCGCTGATTACCGACAGGGTCACAGGGCATGCGAAGCGACGATGTGTAAGGTGGACAGAGAGCTAGTCTGTTTAGGGGGAAAGGAAAAGAAACTGAACCTAAACGGGTAACAGAAAGCGCACAGTTAAACTGTGCATCTTCTCAAGCATTCTGAACTGATCAGAAACGACGACGAGAATGCCTCTGCTGTCAGTTGGTTGCCATGTCTTTCAATGTCCCCAATCAACCAGTTGGAGTGCATTGAATCCCAATTTGGAATACGGGAGACTATCTAATCACTCGGTGCATTTCTCCATGCCTCCTTCCCACGTAATCTGCTGACCCTTATGTTACTTTTTCCAACCTGATTGGATACCACACCCAGCCTAGCAGGGTTTTATGTGGTTCCGGAAATTAGGTTACCGGTTTCCATCGCTGAACAGCAGGTCTTCGTGACTATGGAATCCACCCCNCACCCCGTCTGCCGTTCATAACACAAGTGTGCGTAACAAAATTTAAAAACAACCTTCAGGGGCAACTGAAAACAAGACGTGTTGCATTAAACGACAGCCAGACAATACTTGTCCTGACCAGGGCAGCTTACTCATTCGGATTTGGTGCCATTATATAGAATTTTCCACCGAACATAACCACACCAATAACAGTTTGTCTCGGAGTGGCTATTCTGTTTGCTCTATCCAATCTGTGAATAACTGAAATAGTATAGTTAGCTGATAGCTGTTATACGCACAAATAAACCGCACTGCGGCACAGCATATGACACCAATAATACCAGTGTACAGAGAAAAAGCCCATCCTGTCAAACAAACAACTCGTTACAATTGGCTGGATTCAATATCAGGCTGCTGGACAGAGAAATACAGGATAACTCTTACCGGAGATGACTGGAGGGGCAATCCAGTTCGACGGTTGAAAAACGGTGTTGTGTCCCTGGTCCACGAGGACCACGCACCCATGCAAATTGAACTGGCATTTCGTCGTCGACTGACCCGCGGTCCCGAGTCTGCAGTCGATTTGGTGGTGGTGGTGCTGGTGGTGGACGGGTCAGCCGGAACCACAGATAACGCATCATTCAATGCTGGACTTGTGTTTATTGTGGTGTCAGCTCTCAAATCAACGGGGGCAGGCAGCATTGGCAAAGGCTCAAGAGGAGGAAGAAAAGTACCATTAGTAGTCCCATTAGCAGCAGCAGGAACAACAGTGGTAGGGACAGTGGCAACACCACCAGCGCTGTTGGCTTCATCCCGTTGGACATTCAACAAAGTGAACTTATCAATTACCTTGTCCATTGTGCCTCGTTTGGACAGATCTGAAACCGGGAAACTGGCAAAACCTGACTCAAGTGACGTGCCCATTCG